TACCAAACACCCAGGCTGAGCCTGGGAGCCAGAGATGGCAAATTAGGGGCACCAGGGGACTCTCTGACCCTTCCAGCGGTGCTGGGGTTGCCGGGTCCTGCTGACAGCCCTGAGTTTGCCTCACGTAGTCTAGGCAAGAAAGACCTGGAAGGGGGTTTTAGCAATGAACCATGGGGCCAATTGCTTTGCTTGCTCTTCACATCCCATCACACATTACCCTGCACACCTCCATGGAGCAGAACCGCTCCTTTCCCCTCAAAGAGTGTCTAACGGGCCGGAGGTAGTGGTCTGCTCCGCCGCCGCAGGGCATCCCTGGGCTCTGCGTGGCCTGGAAATGGGAGAGCCAGTACTATCACATGAAACAAAAGGAGCAGCCGAACAACTGAGAAGGGATTTTTAGTCTGATTGCTTAAAACTCTAATCCCATTAGAGTCTATTAAACCCAGAGGGTAATGAGTGATTAATACAGGGTGCCTTTGTTAGCCATGCAGCAGTTCACCCATTCAATTACAGCACAGGAAAGCTCCCAACAGACATCTGATGCTGAATGACTTCTTGTGGTACAGTCAAGCCAGACAACACAACTCCCAGTACTTGATACCACCGAGGTTAGTGCTGTCATAAAACCAGCAAACCCCACCACTGACATCCCTTTTGCAGCTAGCTCCAGCCTTTTGTATTAAAATAAGCATTAACTCCAGACAGGGCACAGTTTCAGTGCTCTTCTTTATTAAATAGTACAGACAGGTGTAAGAGGCACACAGACTAGTTTCTTCTTTCTCTTAGGAACTACACAGAACATGGCACAGAAGAGGTCCAGGAGCTGGGAAAGCTGGAGGAAAAGGGTCTTGTTTGGTGCAGTAACACACACACATACACACGCATTCACACACAGATCTGTCTACCTGTCATGTAGAGCCCGAAGGTCTCCCTCTGGGATGCTAAGGGCTGACACCCCCCAGAGTAGGGCTCTAGATGTGACGTTCCCATTCCTGAACCTCAGCCAGCACCATCCCTGCATCCCTGACTGGCCTGAAGCACAAGTGAGGAGAAAGCACCAGTGTTGTGAGCCCCGCGGAGGGTGGCAGCGCTGGCTGAGGAGGCAGGGCACCACGCTGCAAACCTGCAAAGCTCTGCTTCAGGGAGGAGAGCTGCTGTGGGGAGCACCATAGGCTACAGGGTGCGATGACCATGGCATACATTGGGTAAGAGGGCCCTGCCATGACCCCGCCGCCCCCGGCAGCTCTCCCCTCACACATGCCTGGAGAGCTCTTGGCTGCCTGTAACTGATTACTTGCTCTGTATCCTTCCCAAGGGCTAGTGATGGCTAAAAACACAGTTGTGCCCATCTCACAGTGACATCCCCATGAAGATGAGCTCTTCTTCTATGTGCCCAAGTCCAGTTCCCACTGGAGTCATCAGATGCTGTTTATCAACCATCTGCCTCGAATTTCATGTGGCAGACAGGGTTTCTTTACTCTTGGTCTAACACCACATTGCTGCGCGCTGCTACTCAGGTGCCTTGCTTCCCTCCAAAGTGGCCGAGTCTCAGCAATAGCTGGGAATTATTTCTGAGGAGAAAGGAAGCTCTGCAAATGCACATTATGTGCAGCTTGGATACACTCCAGGTCCTGACAGCATCAGCAGGGAAATTCTAGTTCGGCTTCCTTTGAGCAAGAGCTGGAGGACAGCTTTTGTTTTAGGACAGCTTTTGCTTTGTATCTACCTCATTCTCCTTTACACAAAACACTTTAAATGGGTGCCCTTACTACTGAACTTCAGCTGGCTCTCAGGTTAAAATAAATAACCAAGACAACAGAAGCCAATACTATCTAGCAGCCCAGGCCTGATAAAAGCAGCTTTACCTTGGGATTAATGTGTTCCCAGTGCTTGAAACATCCCTAGGAAACACACTGAGATTCAATCAACCTTACACAAGCCTCAGATCCTATCTAGAAGAGAGGAAGGTTAGAAGAGATTAACCGCACAGGAATGATGCTGGGAGAATGCTTGGGTGAAAAGAAGGAGGGGAAAAACACATTGCAGGTTCAGAGGACGGCTGCAGTACATGGCCAGTTCCCACCATCTCTGCTGGCCAAAACAGCTGCAGCTGCCCCTACTTCTGCAGCGGTCGAGTTAGCCATTGTCTACACAGCAAAACCAGGCACAACAGCACAACACCTGAGGAGTGAGCTGTGACAGACCTTGTACATCTCAAACATGGCAAATAAAAGCCTTGCAGCTGGGCATGCTTCGGTGCAAGGAAGCCCAAGAGGCCTATGTTAGCTGTCACTGAGCTAGGGCGGACAGCAAAAACAGGGAAGCCAGCTGAGACCCATAAAACAGACATTGGAGGTGATGCTCCAGCTAGCCCGAGGGAACCTGGAGCAGGCTGACATATCAGTGCTGCATCACTCCCACATTTTGCTGCTGAGAAATGCCCTGTCAGCCATCAGCAAAGACAGAGATGTGGTCATGCCAAACCAAGCCAGAATTACTGAGAGAGTCCTGAAGCTGCACATGACTGCGAGAGACAGACTGAGACACAGAGAAAGGCAGAGAGAGGCAGGGACAGAGCTTCCCTTGCGCAGGGTTGCTGTGAAGTTAGGGATGGGAAAGGCTTGCAGGATCTAGACCTCTTCCGGGAGAGCGTCCCAGCCACGGCGCATGGCTTTCACCACGGCATCGTAGAGTTTGGTCCAAGCCTCCCGCACATCCGGGCAGAAGGCAGTGCCAAGGCAGTTTTCCAGCATGTACAGCAAGGACTCGCCAACAGTCTGCAAACCAAACAGGGAGGCATCAGGCTCAGAACCAGGGGCCAACATTCAGCCCATCCTCTTACTTCACCACATTTTTGGACTCTTGCCATTGTGGACCAAATGCTTCCCTCCACCCTGCCGCCTGCAGAGCCAGGCCAACCTCTTTGCTGGCTCTTTGGAAGAGCCCTAGAGCAAGGCTGGCCCATGTTCAGCAGTTGGCCCATGCCGTCGCCTTCCCTGCCCTGCCCTGGCTCTCTCCTTAGGCCAGTGGGGAGCACAAGCTGGCTGGGCGCAAGGGTGGTACCGCAGCAGAGTAAGGATGGATGCATGTAATGCCAGCACAGAGGGGCCTGTCCACCCACAGCAGCTCCCAGATACAAGCAGTCAGCATGGGCACAGCATGGGCACAGCAGCACATCAACAGAAGTGAATGATGCCCTCATGCAGAAAGGCTGGATCAGACCCAGCCCTGAGGTTCAGAGCCTGCCTCACCTCCTCTTGCAGGGCTCTCCTCCTCCTCACCCTCACGGAGCTGCAAGAAAACCCCACTGGGCCTGCCTGGGGTGGGAGCCTCCCTCACCTGTGTGGCTGAAAACAGGCCTAGGGGGAAATCGCCATCCCAGAGGAGACACTGCTCACCCTAAAGAAGACTAGTCGTGTAAAGAAGGAGCTGAGAGTTGGTTGGAAACGTTTCCTTTAACCTGCCCTACCCTACTGCATTAGCTAGCATTTCTGCCCCTGCTTGGTGGCAGGAAAGGAATAAGCCAGGGTGTGGAGTGAAGGGTTCCTCTGCCTTACTGCGACAGAGGAAGCAGGGGATGTGTGGATCACTGGATTACATTTGGGACAAGGCAGGGACTGAGGTTCAGACACCCCACATTAGTGCAGGTGCAGAAACAGACATTCCCATTCCCAGGCATGGTGAGGTTTGCTCAAAAGGTTTGGTGCTCTGGTGCCCAAAGCAAAGTCTGAGGCCGCAACCCTATGTTGCAGGAGAGATTGCGGTGTACCAAATGGTTGTCCTCCTCAAACACAGAAAAGGTCTCGCTCCCCTCTGTCCTCTTTCACTGAGGTACGGCGGGCAGAGACGTGAGCTTGAGGGTCCCCCAGTCAAGCCAGCGTCACCACACAGCTATGGGCAGCTTGGCGGCTCTGCTAGGCTGCCAGTTTTCTCAGCAAGCGGCTGAAGGCAGTTGCCGATTGCAGCAGCCTCCCTGGACACGGGGTGGGAAGGTGCCACGGGCAGGGCTGCACAAACCGCTGGGGCTGAGGAGGATGTCTCACCGAGAAAGACTCAACCTTCACACCAGCCACCTGATGCTTCTTGCCAAGGTTGCAGAGATATTCTTCCAGGCACGGTAAGTCCTCCAAGTGGTTCACAGCGGCATCAATCACCAACATCACCTGCGGGAGCACAGCCAGGCAGAAGGGCATTCATGGCAATGCTCTGCTCTCCACCCAGAACAGGCCAGCCCCACTGCGTCTCCCTTCTCAGCCTCATGGCCACCATCACCTCCTAGCACTGCAAATATCTTTGCTTTCCTCTGCTCTGCTACGATCTGCTGGCCAGAATATCAGCACATCTAGTGGGAAACTATCCTCACACAAGGCAGTGTGTCTCATAACCCACCCCTTGCTAGGAGCACCCCCTCCTCCTTCCAGTAAAGGCAAGCCAAGTGAGCCATTCTCCCCCTCCCAAAACTGCCACCTCTTCAGCTCTTGGAGCTGGGCCCAACCTGGGACACGCAAACTGCAGCACCCCGCCACAGCCTCCCATGGAGCTGCCAGAGATGCTGCAGCCAACAGCCCTGGTGGCCCCCATTGTCCCAAAGGAAGGTAAGATTTAACACTGGGGCAGTTGCTACAGATTTTATAACCCCAGGACAACTGCTGGGCAGGATGCTGTGAACACTGGAGTCGTAGGGCAACTAGAAGCTGCCACAACGGTGCAATTGTGAATGAGGCGACTGCAATTCTAACACAACTGAGGCGTTTTGAGAAGATGGACTGGCAGTATAGCCAAGGGACCTTGTCTGGCAAAGCAGGAACCATGTGGTCTCTAAGAAGCACCTGGAATGAAATGGGAACAGGGCAGAGAAGGGTTAATGAGGGTTGAAGGGAAGAGAGTGAGGACCATTTTAGAAGACGAGACTAAAGCCAGTGGCACGGTTAACTTGGCAAAACCAAGGCTGGTGGAATTGTGCTCTATAATTTCAACAGGGAAATTATCTCCAACAGGAGAAAAGAGCAATTTAGCTCAAGGCAATAATGGCAGAAATAAAAATGGACATAACTTAGCTTGATAAATAGGCTGGAAAATAGTAAAGAGCCTGTAGCTATCAGAGAACAGTCCCAGAACAGTGTCTTACAAGGAGTAAAGACAGACAAAACACTGATCAGGCTTAAAGATGAAGCCTGACAACATAGAGAGGCATTTCCACACCAAGGCTGTGTGTGGCTGCACTTTAGGGGTCAGGAAAAGGTTTCTGCTGCATTGGGTGTAATTCTTCCTGTGCACAAATGCAAGATCAGCATCAACCCTCTCTCCCTGTTCAAGGGGGAGGTAAATGTGTATCACAGCTCTGCCTCAGAGCCTAAGCCAGAGGTGCTGTGGGCCCTGGGGTCTGCAGCTGCACCAAGCCCCTCCAGAAGCGGTTCCACTGCAACCTTGCGCACTGCCCATCTCTGTGTCACTCCCGCTCAGCATGCAGCCAAGCAGGACTTGAGGCCTCCTCCTTGCAGAAGTGAGTTCACGCAAAAACAGAGAGAAGGTTTCCTCCTCTGCGGGGTCTGTGCTCCAGCCACGCTGCAGCCCCTCTCTCACCTTCCGTATGTGATCCAGGAACTCGGGCGCAGAGAGGCACTCCTCGGGGCTGGCAAACTGCTTGCAGTTGTACTGGAAAAGGGGCAACAGGTCAGGGTCCAGATCAAACAACCTGCAACGTTGAGAAAGAAATCCCCATTTTTTTCACTTCTTCAACTTTCTACTCAGAGTCTCCTTCACCCAAGGACCAACACTGTCACCAACATGTCCACAGCCCCCCGTCTGCCTCCCTTTCCATTAGCTGATCCACATGGGAAGGAAATAGAAGTTCTGAGAAGTCCTAGTTCAGGGCAATATAGGTTACCAATTGCCAAAAAAACTCTCCTTTTCAGGCATAGTCTCCTGAGACCCTGGATCTGCAATGCATTTATAGCACCTGAGGGTCAGTCCAAGACCAATGGGCTCCTTCCCACGCTGGTGAAAATCCTATTTGTCACCTTGGCTTTTCCTATTCACACTTCCTGATGCCCTGGAGTCCCAAGGCTGTTAAAGCTGGGGAAGACCTGTAAGTTGTCCAGTGTCAGCAAGGCAGGGTGAGCAACCCCAGCTAACATCCCACTCTCCCACACCACTGCTCACTCTCAGTTTATTTGCTCTTGACCTGCTCTGCCAGCATAGGCTATGCACATATGGGTCTGCACAGTAGGAGCTGTCCAGGTTGATGCCATCCCTGAAGGCCACAGGGAATTCCAGCACTTGGGCTCTCTTCTCCCTCATGCTCTGCGCATTAAACTACTGTGTTCCTCGCCCCTTTGCTAAAACTTTCAAACATTGCTCTTGTCAGTCAGTTTTACTGTGCAACATTTGGCTCATGTCTGCAATGGCCCTTTCCAGGAGCTGGTCATTGGCTCTTAGGCTCTACTTTTTAAGCAGCTTTCCATGAATTTTCCTTTTCCTCGTCCCATAATTGAAACATTATTCTGTTTAGAGGAGTCAAGGAGCTAGGTTTCAGAGTTTTGCCCTGGCACACCAAATGCTTTGCTCTGGGACTAAATCTCTCCTCAGTGTCCAGGTCTTTGCCTGGATCTGGAGCCTACCATGTCACGGACAATTAGGAAGTCACTTTGATACACTCCACAGAGTGGAACAGACATGCAGCTCCTCAAGCAACAGAAATACCTTCCCTGGTGACAGCGAGCAGGAAGAGTGTGTAGAGGGACACAAAAGATGCCTGCTGCCTATTCCCTTCACTCTGTCTCCTCCGTTTCCCTGTAACAAAGTTCTGAAGCACGCGGGAACTGCAGAGCAAGGGGCCAAGAAGCGCCGCGAGCAGAGGAGGGAGCTTTCCCGTGGCAGCTGCAGCTAAACGCTAGGTGGGCTTCATCACCCCTCCTCGTGACGGCAAATCCCGACCAGAGGGACAGAGGACCGGGTGACAGAGCCGCTGCGGAGCCACTGCCC